GGAAGAGCCTCCATCTATTGATGGGGAGCGTCACCTGCTGGAAAGCGGGTCCAGCGTCCCATATACAGACTGAACTTGAAATACATCCGAAAAAATTGTGGGGATTGACTGGGCAGGATATTGGGAGGGAGGGGGAACGTCTTCACCTTGAATCCGGCGCCAGATACCTATGCTACACACACTAGCTCCTACCTCCCAGTCCCACATCAAAACGATCTTTTTGAAAAAGGAGAAACCTCTTCGCCCTGCATCAGGCGCCAAATGTCAACTGCTGAGGAGCTAGTCTCTTCCTCTCCCAACTACCTTTTACACGAGAAGATTGACCACACATTTATCTGTCTCTTAATAGGTGTACCTCAGATGTTCCGCTCCGGTCTGTAGACTCCCCTTTCAAGCATCATCTCCTCCAAATTTTCAACGTCTTGCAGATTTTGGTCCACCGTCCAATAAGTCAACGCCGATTGCCACTACCTCTGTTGTTGTTTTTGCTGTGCCAGCCGCTACGGCTACTCCGTCTCCTGTCAGTTCTGTTGTGCTCGTTTTTACACCATCAACAGAACATATGCATGTCCATACAGGACCCTTGGGACAACCAAGTTCTTCTAATTTTAACATTGCCATATACGACTCTCTTGAATCTATTGGTCCCAAAAAGACACTAACATACCTATCTCATCTTGTTAGTTCTCACAGGATTCAAGATATTGTGGAAGCGGCAGAGGAATTGAATACGAGCAGAACACTTGGAGGTGTGTGGATGTTGTAATTCATCTCGATTACTATCGGCAAGATCAGAGTCGATTCAGACCTTTCGAGGACTATCGTCCCAAAGTATTGCAACGAGTTTCTGTTCGTGAGGTGCTGCAAGAGTATCGTTCCAGCGAAAGAAGTTGATTTGTCTTATGACAGATATAGGAAGAGAGAGATATTCATTGGGTGGTCGTCCAACCCTTGCCTTAATGACAAATTTTTAGATAGTCATCCTCGAGTTCAGTTACGTGATTGCCCCTACAAGAAATATGGGAGGAGAGAGACAAACAAATAGGAAGAGAGAGAGAGAGAGAGAGAGAGAGAGAGAGAGAGAGAGAGAGAGAGAGAGAGAGAGTAGCRGACCTCTGGTTGGCCTGTGAGACCAGCCCCTTGGCCTGTTGTCACAGACCTGTGTTCTATTCGGGGGCAGTCCAGTCCAGTCCAGGCCGGTACCTCTGTCGGTACCAGCCAGTCCAGTCCAGTCCCGTCAGTCCGCTGGGGTATACCCCAACAGTTGTCTGTTTTCGTCCTCATTCTACACTTGCACATTTTGGAGTACGTGCGTTGGAGTCTTGCGTGGGGAGCTGCGCTGTGCATCTTGCTCCCCCCTTCTTCCTCCATCTCCATCTCTATCACTAGCAGAGCACCACACCTGGTGGGTCCGCTACATTGGTATCGGAGCGGGAACGTTTCCCGCTCCCACCCACCACCACGTACAGCTGTCAGCACCCCGACACAGGTGGAAATACAGCAAACCCGAGAGCAGGTTTTTTCGGTGTTTTTCGGCTGATTTGCAGCGAAAACGCGGGAGAAAAAGTGGCGCTTGCTGAAGGTGACACGTGGCGAAAAAGGAAGGAGCCAAGGCCAAGGCCGCCGCACGCACACGCGCCCACGCTGCCCCGCCTCACCCCCCTCCTGGATTTACATTATCAAGATCCGGGAGTTTTGCTGCTGTTGGGGTCTGAACCTAGGCAGCTGCTGGCCATGCGCGTGGGTGTACCACCCTCATAACACACTAGCCACAGTCTATGCATGGCCTTGTAGCACGACAACCTCCTGTTGAAGAGATGCTGGCTATTTACCCCCCTGCCCCGCCGGCGAGCAGCGTGCAGCGGCCAGCGAGCCAGCAACGGGAGAGGCTGCTATTTACCGCCCCCCCCCCCTTGGCTGTTGCTGCCTGTGCACGTGGCCACCTGCAGTGCTACGTGGCATTTTGTTGTGGACTGAAGACCCCCCTGGTTAGGGGGCTGTGCCGTAGCATTATTATTATTATTATTATTTTTTACTCTCTCTCTACTGCTGCAGCAGCAGCTTTGCAGCAGCTCAAGATTTCCCTCTGGCTAGGGGGCTGTGTGACTGTGGCAGTAGGGTGGCTGATCAAGATCTCAGTCAACCCTAGATCATCATCATCATCCATCAGGGTATGCTCACACAGCACACCCTGGATCTGCAGTGCTGCAACTAGGGGCTGATCAAGATCTCAGCCCCCCTACATCCTCCAGTTGGTTGGCTGCAGCGAAGGCCAAGACCCTCCTGGTCTTGGTATACCTTGTGCCCTTGGAAACACCAAGGGCCAAGTATCATCTCTCTCTCCCCTTTTCTTTCCCCCACCTTCCACTGCCTCTCTCCCCTCCTCTTTTTACCTTCCCCACCCCACCTTTTCTCCCACTAACCAATATCTTACCCTCTTTTCTTCATTTATTTTCTCTCCTCCTTCTTTCCTCTTAGTTTCTTGATCACTCTCCATCTTTCCCCATCTTCTTTCTCTCCCATTCTCTCACCCTCCTCTCCCCCAACTGCCACCACATCATTTCCCCATCTTCCACTTCCATCTTTTTCCCTCTCCCACTTATTTCTTTCTTCTCTCCATCACTTTCTCATCCCCCCTTCCCCCCCTACTTCGAATTTTTCTGTTTTTCTATTTTTCTATCTCCCTTTTGATTTATATTTTCTCTTTTTTCCCAAAATTCGAATTATCTTCTTCCCCACCTTTTTTTCTCATTTTTTGATTTATTTTATTTATTTTTCTATTTATTCTGAAAATTCGATTTTCTTTACGGCAACCCTAAATCTGATTAGGTGTTAGTCTTTACTACTTTCGGCACACGTTTTGACCCCGTGGGGGTAACGAAGTGCTGCCGAAATTTTCTGTTTTTTCTTCCACTTAGTCTTCTCGGCACACTTCGACCCCATGGGGGTAACGAAATGCTGCCGAAATTTTTGACAAATCAGATACTTCATTACCCCTACCTCCTCACCCACTTAATTACTTATTTATTTGTTTATTTATTTATTTATTTCTTATTTCTTTATTTATTTTTGATTTTTTTTTATTTTTATTTGCAGCATCTTGAAACCTAGTGTGCTCACCTTGGTTTCTCATTTCCCCTCGGCACATTCTTGACCCCAGGGGGGGTAGGGAAATGTTGCCGAAAATTTCAAAAAATAAAAATTATTTTTTTCTTTCACATTTTTTTTACTTATTCCCTTAATTATTTTTATTATTTATTTAATTCGTTATTTATTTTTATTTTTCTCTCGAAATCTCGCTGTTTATTTATTTTTCTCCCGCCTTCCCCTCCCCCCTATGCTTGCTATTTTATTTTCTTGATTAGGTCACCGACACCGTACCCTAACCACTCAAACTCCGGTTAGGGTTTTCTTAGGGTTTTATAGAGTTTAGGGTTCTTCAAACCCCCCCTACTTCCCCGTCCTCTTCGGGCACCCTGAACCCGAACCACCCCTCCCGCTTTGACGGCGCCCGCGCCAGCCTTGCTAGTGTCGTCCACCACTTTCTACCGCGGACTTCCCCCTATGCCCTCCGCTCACGTGGACCTCTCCTGGCTCCCTCCAATCTAGCTGGTCACCTCCCCATGGCCGACGACGTGTCACACGCCGCTGACGCGGCGACAACCTTGGCACAGGGCTCCACACCCGTGCCGACGGACCAGGGCCACCAGCCCCAGGGGGATCTGCACACCCTACTCACCTCCCTCCTTGCGCCCATCCAGGCGCAACTCGCGATCCTCGCGCCCTTACAGGCGCATGTGGTGACCCTTGCCGCCGGCGTGCAGCAACTCCATGACGTTGCATGTCCTCCATCTCCTGGCTCCCTGTCCGGGTCCCCTGTCCTCCGACAGGGTGGCCACGACGGAGGTTCCTCCTCTGTCGTCCCCGACCCGACCATCTTGGTGAGTGTCCACGCCCCTAGCACGACGGCCGTCACGAGCCAGGCCCTCCCTCAGTCCACGGGCGCACCCGCCCAGATTCCGGCCACAACGGCCACAGGACCACAACCCGCTACCATAGTCTCAGTTTTTCCGGGTGCCCCGCTTCTCCCTTCCCTTCGCACGACCGCAGCACCACCTGGCTCCCCCCCCTCTGGGATGCCCCGCGCCACTTGTGCGTCCACTTCCTCCACTCTTCCTCCTGCCATCCCTCGCTCGACCTACGTTCGAGGTCTCGCAAACGAGATTGCCCAGCTCCGGGCCAACCTCTCCCTCTTACGCCTTCAGCCACCCCCACCCTCACAGGTGGCCGCGCCCTCGGGGGCACCCCCTACCTCCTCTACTCTTCCTCCCATGCAGGCTCGCTTCCTGCGCCCTGCACCCTATCCAGCCCCATCCTACCTTCTTCCTACTCCCGCGGTTGCTGCAACCTCTTCTACCGCAGCTCCTTCGCAGCCGGCCGCAATTGCCCCCGCCGCTCCCTCATGTGGCTCGGGCGCATAGTCAGTTGCGCCCCTCTCTCCAGGACTTGCGCCGACTTACTCAGCCGTGGCACAGGCCTCTACTCCTCGATCCCCTCGCCGCCAAAACGGTGGCGCACCACTCATCCGTTTGTCGGACATTGCCCAGTATGACGGTACATGGATACACGTGTCTCGGTGGCTGCAGTCTGCCACCCGCACGCTCCAGCTCATGGGCGCCACACCCGACACGTGGGTGGGTCACCTCTCCACGCGCCTACGTGGCGGTCCTTTCGAGGCCTGGGAGGATTTCTACGCGTACTCCCTTCGTGAGGGTCGGACCCCGACCTTCATGGATTTCCAGGCATTCCTCGAGGATCGCTTCGGAGCCCGATACGACATGACTGACGCATTCGAGCGTGTCATCACTACACGCTGGTCCGGCTCTGGTGGCGCTGCTGCTCTGGATCGCCACATCCAGGTCTTTCAGGACGCCCGCCTCACTTGTGACGTGTCGTTCCTCCCCGAGGCTGCCCTTATCGATCGTTTCTTGGCCAGCCTTCTGCTCGAGTACCGCTCGGAGCTATGGCGGCACGAGTTCCCATCGGCCCCATAGGCTTACGAGGCCGCCAGGGACCATCGACAGATGTGAGCCCATCTTCACCCCGCCTCCTCCTCCTGGCCTCAGCGCACGGGCTACACCTCCTCCTCTTCTCACGACACTTCCCAGCGCCGTTCCCCTTTCCGCGGTCGCCCCCGCCGTTCCGCGCAGCAGGGCCGCCCCTTCTCGCGCCGCTTCAGCACGCTCGAGTATGGTGAGCAGGACGCTGGTGCCCCGCTGTCGCCAGAGGGTGACCATAGCGACGACCTCGACCTTGGCGAGGCCGTCCAGCACCACCTGGAGGACCCTACTCTCCCTATGGCCTATGTAACACCCGCGGACGCGTCCGCAGGGTCGAGCTCGGATCGCGGACCCAAATGGGTCCGCATCCGCGGCCTACATGGTCCGCACCGCAGACCCGATTTTACACGAATTTTCTTGAATTAAATAATAGGTAAGAAAAAAATTAAAAAAAATGGGGTTGTAGGGAATTTTAAGCCCTACAACCCCAAATTTTTTGTTTTTGGATCAGACTTTGTTTAGGATTTTTAAAAAATTAAAAACGAAATTGGATTTAAGGAAAAATATATATATATATATAAAAAAGCAGGAATTTTTTTTGGTCACTTTTTATCACGAGATATATGGTCCGTGAGTTTACCTGTATGTTTTTAGAAATGAATTTATGTTTTTTGCAGAAGGATGAGGTGTTTTGAAAAAATGCAGATGCAAAATTAAAAAAAAAAAAAAAGGGGGTTTGATTGATTGATTGATTGATAGATTGATTGATTGATTGATTGATTGGTTGATTGGTGGGGGGGGAGAAGTCGCCCCACC